AAGTAAACTTCCTCAGCTCCAGCTTGTAAGCCGCACCCAATCCACTCTGATTGGAACCATAGGAAATCACCTTCGATATTGCGGTATCCACAATAGGAGCAAGGATAAATTCAGCCATCTTCACTTGAGTAGTTTGCAACTGAGAAATGCTTAGAACAAAAGAGGGCAGGAAATGATGCTATGATGGTAGGTATCGATGAAGGACAACTTTTATTTTTACAAGCATGAAGTTGATGTTTATTTATTTTTCAGAGTTAATTAAAATTAATTTTTGTGATTGTAAGTTGTCCACCTCTTAATCTTATTCTGAAGAACAGCACCATTTTCTTCTTGATATGGCACACACACACAAAAAAAAAAAAACTTAAGGTAACGTATTAACGGATTCTAGTGTCAGCAAAACCTACATTCAGTTACTGAAACTTATTTTAGATTTTTAATTAATTTTTAAATTTTTTTTAAAATAACTAAATTTTTTGATTAAATAATTTAAGTAATTTAATTTTTTACTATAAATTTAATATCTATTTATTTAGATAAAAGATTAGTAGATTATGATTTATGTGGTAAATATTAATTTTATTTACATAAATAAAATATAAATAAATATTAAATTTATTATAAAAATTAAATTATTTAAATGATTAAATTTAAATTTTTATATATTTTAATAAAAATTAAAAATAAATTTAAAAGCTTAACATATGTAACTTGTTAACGAATTCTAGTGTTGGTCGATGTTTATGACACTTTTGTCATTGGTTGAAAAAAAAAATAATGTCTTTAATATATTTTTGTCATTAAATTATATTAAAAAATAAAATTTGACTTTAATTTTAATAATTAATTAATGAAATTGAGATATGTGACATTAATTTTAAAATTAATATTAATTTTTTATTAAACTAATAATTAAAAAATATATTAATTATATTTTTAATTTATGTTTTTAATATATAAAAAAAAAAAATAAAATGAAAGAAAAAGCCAAGGTAATGTTTTCAATGTATTGGAACTTTTGGGAATCGGGACTTAAGTCCAATTATTTGTCCCAAACCTTAGGGTTTAGGTGAGGTGGTGGTCAGGGTTTCGACCTTTATTATTACCGTGAATTTCATCAACAAGCGATTTAATGATCGCGCGTCTTATTTGAAGGGGTGAAATATTCATTGATCTGAAAATTTTAATTGTTAACAATTAATTCATACTAATTTTTTAACTATTATTATTGTAAAACAAAAATTATTGAAACTTTTAATTCGTTACTTTAGACAGGCACCGCCCCATATGCATTTCCATCTGACACGGGAAGCAAGCCAGCGAGGGATTCCTCTGGAATTTTGTCCTATTTCAAAAAATATATATAAAAGCACAAAAATTGAGGTATAGAGCAGGTAGCTGCAAAATAATTCTTTGGTTTGCACCAAAAAAAAAATAATTTTGGTTAAAAAAATAAAAAAAATAAAGATATTTTGATATTAAAAATAAAA